AACCTTTTAAAAGTTGAATGACTTTTTTTTTTTTTTTTTTAAGTAGGTTCCATGCCCAAGACGGGGCTTGAACTCACGACCCTGAGATCAAGACCTGAGCTGAGATGGAGTCAGACGCTTAACCGACTGAGCCACCCAGGTGCCCCCTAATCTGACATTTATGAAAAGTTCCAGCAAAACAGACTTAAAAGAACCTGTTTGGCCATTCACTATTCATGCTGCGCTTGTGTGAATAATCAGGCCAAATTTAATGAGACTGGACTGACTTCGCAAAGAAATCAGTCTTTCTTTGATTACCTTTGATAGAAATTGGAGTAACTGTAGGGAGATGTTGTTTCAGTTAAACTCCTTATGGGTCTTAGATTCTAGTACTGTTATGTTTGTGAGGTGGTTTTCTAACTGTAACTGGATCCTGAATTCCTCTGGCTTCTCCAGGATTTGACTATCCATCCCCAAACGAACATTTCCATTTTCTCCAACCCCTTTAGCCAAAGCCTGGCAAGGCTAGATAAAGCTGGCACAAACTGTAGAGAACCCACCACTGCGGCTCCTGTGGGGATAATCCCTGTGCCCATTGCTGTGTGACCGCCAGGCCATCAGAGATCTTCAAACTAGAAAGCAAGCAAGCTGTCCCTGCCAGGCCGGCCCCAACACCATCTAAGGATGGTTTGAGCCTGGCCTCTAAACATGCTTTCGACTGGCAGCCTTTAGAACTCAAACTAGGATTCTAGTCCACTGTGGGATTTATGGTTCTGAGCTTTTGGCTTTTGGTTTTGTTTTTGTTTTGCTTGTACAATAGAGGAGCCCACCTATGTCAGCACTTCTTGAGTTGAACTGAACTGACCTCTTGGCAGGACTAATTCAATGAGATGAAGCAGTCTGCCACCTCAGCTTCTGGATTAGGACTCTTCTTGGAGAATCTTTGTTGGGACTGAGGGGAGCAGAACACGTCACCCCAAGAGGTTCCACATCGGCATGTGGATAGTTTTGAGCTGAAGGCAAGGAACACCCAGCAGACACAGGAAAAGCATTTACCTCTCTCTCAATTGCCTAAGAGAACTCAGGGGACCCTGTACCAGAAAGAGCGCTATTACCAGTGACGACTTGTTACATCAGGAAGACTTATGTGCATGACAGGATCGTGGGGCTCGATCCCAGGACCCCAAGGTCATGACCTGAGCTGAAGGCAGTGATTTAACCAACCAAGCCACCCAGGTGCCCCTCAGGCAGTGATTTTCTAAGGAAAGGTATTGGAAAGGTACAACCATCTTAGATGACAGTAGAGAGAAACAAGGGCAATAAAGATTAAAAACCTATTTGGAAGAATGGATAAGGAATGGATACACACACACATCATAATGGAATATTATACAAAGGAGATCTTGCCACCTGGAACAAAATGGATGGACCTAGATGACATAATGCTAAGTGAGATGTCTGAAAGACAAATACCATGTGATGTCACTTATATGTGGAGTCCAAACAAAACAATAACAAAAAGCAGAATCAGACCTATAGAGAAGAACAGGTTGCCAGAGGGAAGGGAGATTGAAGGCATGGGGAAAATGGGGGAAGGAGTGTGGGCTTCCAGTTGAATGAATAAGTCATGGGGATGAAAGGTGCAGCTAGACGATGGTATTATGTTAGTGTTGTATGGCGATGGATGGTAGCTATATTTGGGAGCATAGCATAATGCATAGACTTATCACTAGGCTGTACACCTGAAGATAATGTGTCAACTATACTGAAATTTAAAAAAATTCAATATGAGAAGTCCCACAATAGAGGCTTATTAGGGCTGAAAATGTACCCCCCTTCAAGTGGCAGGGGTTGCATGCTGGAATCAGTAAATATGGAGATGAAGCAGAGCATCAGGAAACACGCTCCAGGAATAAGTCTTTCCTCCAGGGTGCTCACTGTAGTCCCCCAGTAGCAATGGTGTAATGCCTGGGAATATGGCAAGGACAGGATTGAGCAAAGTCAAAGAGAAAAACCAAAAAATCAAATAGCACATCTTTCCTAGTCTGCAAAACTCTCAAGAGGCCTCTGTAGCAAAATTACCCCAGAAAACCTCAGTGGTTTTCAAGTTCTTTTTCCAAGGGATCTCAGGGGACCTGTTCATGTGCTTGGTCCAAAATCTTAATCTATTCATTAGACCGGAGGTAATGTGTCGTCCTTAAGACATTTAGAATCTGGGACCTGAAATGCAAAGCTTTGAGGATGAAAATTGGAGAGCCTTTGGGGAACCACATTTAATACTAGCATGGAACTTTTTTAGGTGTTGAATGAACTAGTTGGAGGGGGGAAAGATGCAATCGGAGTTGACCAAGTGGGAATTGACATGCGTGCTACAAGAATGTCATCAAACCTCACCCCATAGAGTCTGGGCATGTGATTTTGAGGATTGATTTAAATGGTAAATAAATCCTTAAAAGTTACTGGATATTTCCTATTCCTGCTTAGACATGACTTTGCAAGATCCCCTCTGTTTCATTTTATAAATTGGGACAAATACCTTCACAAAGTTTGTTGAATCAGACTGCTGTAAGAAAAACAATTGTTCCAGACACAGAGGAGGCTCAGTGACTTAGCTCTTGTTACTATTATGAGCCTGAGTTCCAGTGTGATCCCTGGTACATGTGGATATGTGTGTCCTTTGAAGCATACATTAAAGCAAGCTGACACTTCAGAATTGATCACTGGGAAAGTAATTGATAGTAGCCCCACTGAAGACAAAAGAGGCATCAGATTTTGTTTCTAGCCAACTTCTCATCCTTTTTTTCCCCAAAGCAAATGTTCTCTGGATCCTATCCAATGACATAAAATATGGGAGTATGTGGAGGCTTTATGAGGAAATACAGTTAAGTTCTGTTAAGTTCAAGAGCCTGGTGATCCAAGCTGGGGGCTCCTGGATTCGGCCAAGCACTGGGCTAAATGCCGTGGCAGATGACCTGGGCAAACCCAAACCTCAGCCCGTGATGCCTCAAGGCATCCAAAGGGAACCCAAGGACGACCAGGCACAGACAGTGGGCCAGGCTTCCAGCTGAAGCCAGCTGATGATTCCCTTGCTTTGCTCTTGCCTTCTCTCCACCAGTCTTCCATCGGTGGGGGCCCCTACCCACCTCTAGCTCCGTGCTGCCTGATGCCAATCGATTTTTGCTCAAACTCAAAAATTTTTAACATGCCTCAGTTTTTCACAGTAATGCTAACACTTAGGCAATGGCTAATCAATATTTTAATTGCCTCAGGGTCCAAAGCTGCTCTTAAGAGAGAAGAGAAATCGAGCATTTCAGGTCAATCAGAAGTAAAGCTTTTTGGAGTAAAGGGAAACGGACAACATCGCAACCACTAATGCAGTGGTTGGATTTGCTTCAATTTCTTTGGTTCTTCAGTTTTAGAATTACATAAAACCATATCTGAAGGTTAGTCTTTAAATGTCTCTCATTGCTTATATGATCACTGTCAAACATTGTATGACATTTATTAAAAACTCCACTTATATCCCAATGTAAAGTTTTAAAACGGTCTTTCAATACTTATTACTGTATTAATGCATTCCCATTGTATTCTTTAATGTCAGTATTTTTAGAAGATAGATGCAGGCCAGTGTTTGGATCTTGTATGGATTTTAAGTTCCCTATTACAGCAAAGGAGTAAGGAGGACGATGGGTATCCCACAGGAACTGATTTGGGGACATGAACATGGAGGGAGAGGTGGGTGCTCCTTACCCTGCGGCATCCAGGAAAACAGATGAGCATCAAATTGGTCCTGTGGGAGACAGTGGTGGTGACAGGAGAGCTGTCCTAGAAGTCGGGGGCCTCAGGGAAGAGCTTCGCTTGGGACAGTGTGTTCACACTCCGTTCTCTTGAATGGTTGATCTGTGTATTCCTTGTAGAATAGCAAGTCAACAGGGTATAGTTTGGTCTGTTGAAGGTCACAGGATGTGAACCCTTACCCACAAGCTGGCCCCAGGCAACTAGACGTCCCCCGCCCCCCACCTTCTCCATCCTTGGAATGTAGCGCTCTCCACCATTCCCAGAGTGGAAACCATTCTTGAGAGAGTAAGGTGCCACGATTATCTGCACAGTATATGGGGCTGAACCCAGGGAAGGTCTCTCTAAACTTAAGGTTTGGGTGGGGTAGGGTGGAGCTACACTCCTCTTGTGGCCACCCAAGACCAACTTGTATGTAAGTTTCCTTGCCTGTTAAACCGGCCACCTACCAATCTGGAGTGGCCTGCCTCTTCAGCATCTCCCTGCTTTCCACGTGTGGGGGCCAGCATATGAACTAACAATTGGCGAGCAAGCCATGAGATTCAAGACATGGTTTCAGGAAGGAGACATCTGGATGGGGGCGGGGGGTGCCTCCTGAGTTGGCCACCCAGCTCTGTGGGGACGAGTGGCTTGTCTGGTAGATGCTTGTGGATCTCCCTGAAGAGGCTAGGTAGTCTCACGTGCTTCCTTGAGAAACTGCAGAGCACACGGCTGCCCAGTGGCCTGGCGTCTGCAGTGGGCATGTGCCTGGCTGCTGATGCCCACCTGGAGGCTGAAGAAGGTGAAGAGCTGAGTTTTGTAGGTGCCCACTAGTCTGCTGGCTTCAGGGCTGGCAGATGAGGCGGGCAGGCTTGACAGTGTGCAGAGCTGGGAGGGGGCAAGCTGCCTGGCGTTGAGGTCTGGGTGCTTGTGGCGAAGCCTGACAAGGGACACTGGAAGGTGGAATCCCTGGGAGAGGGAGTGGAGGGGGTAGGATTTGCGCAGGCTGAGGAGGAAATGGAAACCGTACCCCATGCTGTCCCACCCCGATATGAGGGAATGTTTTAACAGTAACTATCCTGAACTTTTTTTTTCCCCAACTAACATCCTTGTTTAAATTCAAGTTAACGTGTATTAGTGTCAGAGGTAGGATTTAGTGACTCATCAGATACAACACCCAGTGCTCACTGCATCATGTGCCCTCCTTCATGTCCATCCCCCCAGTTACAGCACCTCCCACCCCCTCCCCTCCAGCAACCCTCGGTCTGTTTCCTAGAGTTCAGCCTCTCCTGTGGTTTGTCTCCTGACAGAGAAATGTGCCTCCAAGCTCGGAGGAGGGAACTTCTGTGCTTTCTAAGTTTTCCATATTCTGTCTGAAGTGTAAATGGCCAGGAGGTAATGAAGACCTTGCCCAGGATTGCCGGAGACTGAAGGGCAAAGAGACACAGCAGCTTCCCAACACATGGACTGCTGCCGAAGCTCCCCTGCCGCCCCCGGCACGGTCCACCAGCCCCCGCAACATCCATGGTAAGGGGCAGATAAAAATCCAAGCGGTCCTCTCCACGATTATGAAGTTTCAGCCATTTGAGTGGGTAACTTGTTCCGTCTGCCAGAGATGCAATTAGGAGTCAACTGTTTTTCATAAACGAGTGAGTTTTTTCGTATTGTAGCCAATTCATGGCTAAAATTTGGGGTGAAAGCTGTGAAGTCTGTGAAGTACGTCCATGGGTATGTCGCATACATGAGGGTTTCCACCTCCAGGGGGTAAGACCAAAATCCGTTGTTAAAGGGGCTCTATTTAATTGGCTTAAAGAAAAATAAACTTCACTATCAATGCTGTATTTAAAGCTAAAAAAGTTTTTATCTGCTGAAAAGACAAAGTTTTCTTGGACTATTGGTGTATTCTTGAGAAGAAGGTGAACAGTTTTTCTTTACCTTTCAAGTAATCTGCCTAGAGAACAGATCACGTCCTCTGTACCCCCCTGTGTGACATGTTGCCTTAACTGAAAGCCCTAAATACTTAAGAAAATGGTGTTTATTAAAAGAGCTCTGTTTCTTTTTACCCTAGGTAACTGTATTTGCCTGGAAAGTTTTGTCATTTTGGTTAAACAGATTCTGTTTAATCAAGTGCTTTAAAACATTTTCATATTTTTTACACATTTAAAAAAAATTAAATTCTATATGAGGTCTTGTTGACCTTGAGCTAACTTTGGGATTTTTCCACAAGATCCCTGGAACATCCCAAAAGATGTATTGTCTCATTATAGGAGAGAGAAAAACTAACTAGGTTTCTTTATTAAATCATATGAGAAGCACTGTCAAATAAGAAATGCTAAACTTTCTTTAGGTTCTACTTGCATGAAATTCCTAAAAATCTATGTCCTGGTATGTTACCAGTCCTCCTTCTCATTCTCTTACTGTGTTGTGTGTCGCAGAAGTAGCCCACTGTCCGTGTCAATGGCATTATCATGAACTTACCAGATCTTTAATTACGGACATTTTTGAGTTTTGTCCTTTACGGTTATTGTTTTACTCTGATGCCTTTGCTAAAGTGTTCCTGCAGAATAGCTTTGTCTTCAAGGAGATGCATGGTGCCCTCATGTGGGAGGGACAGCAGTGTACCTTCCAGTGTTCCCCCCCACCCCCGGGCTACCTGCAAGTCCCACCGTATGTCATGGGATGGTAACTCCAGACCTGTCTTCTCCTCCTGCACGTCGGTGAAATGGGCCCATTACATGATATGTTAACGTGAAGATTTGCCCCTGCTGCAGGACACCCCATGAGCTTTGCTGCAGCATCTGTGAGGGAGAGGATGGGCAGTGAACCTACAGAAAATTCAAGACCCAGATACTACAGTAAGCTTTTGGGTGTCGTCTGGCCAGGTAAGACGCCTGTTGTTCCAAAACCTGTGATTAATAAGCTGTGGGTTTATCCAACTCCTAAGAACGAGAGAAGTGCAAGCCTTTGTTGGGGCTTGGGGGGCTCTGGGGGACTTTAATTCCCTACCTGGCACAGTGTTCCTGTCCTTATGCTGCCTGGCAGAGAGAGGGCTCATGTGGGGCTGGGGGTCAGAGTAGCAGGCCACCTTCAGACAGCAAAAGTACTAGTAAAACAGATGAAAGCTCTGGGCATCTCCTAAGCAGGGCTGCCATTTGCGTCAGAGGCGTCCATGACCCCGGAAGCTAGGAGTCAGGCACTGGGGCAGACAACAGAAGGAAAGATTACCCCTGCACTTTGGTCCCAGCTCTGGGAGGGGACAGAAAGCTGATCCACTCCCTTACAGAACGCTAGCTCCTAGCAGTGTCCGCAGCACTCCCCCAGGGGGACCCTCTCACATGGCAGTCATGCAGCAGCTGGGGGCTGAGTTCAGAGTGGACTGGCTGGTGATCACCCATGAGCCCATGCTGCTGGCCCCTTGCACGGACAGCAGGCCTGCTCTAAACGGATGAACCCTATGTCTTGGACAATGGGAAGCTGAGGGGTGGATGATCATGAATAAACCCTTGCAGGACCAGAATGCGTGGAAAGGCCCTTGGGTCCATCCGTAAGAGTCTGAGGCATCCTCCCTGCCTTCTACCTTCTGGTTCATAAGGCACTGACCATAGCTTCACCATCGGGGACCTGAAACCCCAGCTACTGATCCTTTGGTAGATACAGCAGATCGGGTGCATAGAAAGAGCAACCACCATAACACCAAGGTGGGATGGCACATTGCCAAGGATGCCAGATTGCCCTTGAAGTACAGTGACTAGGTTAATGCAGTATCACCATGTCCTGTGTGTTTTCCACAATGGCCTCCCCCTGCACCCCCCCCTCCCCCGGCTACTGCCGGAGGAGTCTAGGACCATCCTCTGGACTTCCTAGCCAGTGAGAGATTGACAAATTGACTGTATTGCCCCACTCCCTCCAAGTGAGGATTCTAAATATGCCTTGAGAACAGGACATTGGATGAGAGTTTCATCTTCCCTATAACTCACAGGGGTAATGGAAAGGAAAAATGAATACTAGAGCAGCAGATCAAATTACTAGTATGGAAAACCATGTTAGTTGAGTGAACTAACCAACCATCTCAGACTTCTATATATTTGATCAAGTACAAGGGCTGTTCCCAGGCCAGACTGGGAACCCTACTAGGCACCCAGTACCGTAAAGGTACGGAAGTTGCAAGAAACTATGGATTGACCTGCTGTGCTCCTGAGAACAGCAAGCCTCATCCCACCTGGAAAAGGCATCAGCTACTGGAATTTGCAGTGGGAGGTCCCCTGGAATGGGTGAGTTACTTTTCACCCCTAAGTGAGGGAGAACTACTCCATCTCCACTGGGATCTCACTGTCCTGCTGCAAGCTGGACCTGTGGAAATGTACTATGTCTGGAATGGAACATGCACCATCAAAAGAGGGACAAGGGTAGGGGTCCTGGTCTGGAACATCCTGTCCCCAGTCTCCTCACACCTCACAGTGCTGCCTCTCCCAGCCAGCATGTATGATGTGCACAACCTGGTCCAATCCCTAAAGCTGCCAACCTCTCTCTCCACAAGGCCAGGTGAGGACATTTTGCTCCTTCACTCCTATGGTCGTTTGGCCACCATATTTGTTCCCCCATTGGCCTGGAGGACATCATAGCACACATGGAAATGCTTACTAAATTCACTCAGCAAGCCAGAGAGGATAGCTGACAAAGCCTGTCATTTCTGAACACTGAAGTGTCTCTAAGAGAAAAGCTGTCTTCCAAAATAGGATGGGCTTGGACATGATCACTGCCTCATAAAGAGGCACCTGTGCTATTCAGGAAGAATATTATGTGTTCATACCTGATGGGTCTGATGTATCCTTAGTAAATCACACGAAGGCACAAATGAATACTGTGAACTATCTGACCTCTAGCTCAAGGGACTCAATAAATCCAAGATTTGGATCCTGGGGCTGTTGGTGGGAAAGGAATTCCTTATTTTGGGGAATCACTATCTTGATCTGTATTTTCTCTTGTATGTACCTCTATTTTTGCTGTGCCATCTGCCTCTAATGCAGCCACAGAGCTGCCAAAAAAACCACCTCCAAGCTAGTAAGACCCCTTGCCATAGCACAGGGCCATCACTGAAGAGGAGGAGGGGGCGGGTGTGTGAGATTGTAGGAGCCGGTCACTAGGGATGGAGTTTTGTAGTTCAGTGACAGGACATGACTGCCCACTGTTCCCATGACCAGAGCTGTTTCAAGGGTGAAGCCTTGTGCTGTTAAGGCCACATGGATGGTAGTGCATGGGCCCAAACCCCATCTAGGTCTCCATGTGATCATCTGAGATTCTGGTATGTAGATGCAGGGATGTACTCCCTTTGCTGCTGCCGGGACAGCATCCTATGTAAGTGCCCTGGCTTAGTAAACCTGCCTGGAAGGGCCTGCCTCTTTCTTTGGTCTGTCCCCTACCTCCCTGTATGGGGTCCGGTTTGCAAACCAACATCAGAGACTGTGCTTCAGCCCAGGGCCCATCTGTGTGTCCTCCAGGATCTCTGAGTCAGCATCTATAGTGGATGAAGCCATTCCTGCATTGGAATATGCACAGTTATTCCAATACCATATCACTACGTAGAGCTGCATGGAAAGAGACAAGCTTCTGAAGATCTTTTCTTTCCATTTCAGCCGTTTTTTCATTTGTTAATTCCACATAACTGGAATCATGGCATTTGTCTTTCTCTAACTTATTTCACTTAGCTTTATACCCTCTAGATCCATCCATGTCATTGCACATGGCAACATTTCATTCTTTTTTATGGCTGAATAGTATTCTATAATATATACATACATATATGTATATATATGTATCTGTTCATCTGTTGGTGGACAACTGGGTTGCTTCCATAATTTGGTTATTGCAAATAATGCTGCAATGTATATATAGGTGCAGGTATCCCTTTGAATTTAGTGTTTTTATATTGGGGGGGGCAAATACCCAGTAGTGCAGTTGCTGGGGCATAGGGTAGCTCTATTTTTAACTTCTTGAGGAACCTCCACACTGTTTTCCAGTGTGGCTACACCAGTTTGTATTCCTACCAACAGTGCAAGATGGTTCCCCTTTCTCTGCATCTTCACTAACACTTGTTGTTTTTTGTTTGTTGTAGTCATTCTGACAGGTATGAGGTGATATCTCATTGTAGTTTTGATTTGCATTTCCCTGATGAGTGACATTGAGCATCTATTCATATGTCTCTTGGCCATCTGGACGTTGTCTTTGGAGAAATGTCTGTTCCAGTCTTCTGCCCATAAATTCTTTATATATATATTGGATACTAAGCCTTTAATAAGATACATCTTCTACAAATATCTTCTCTCATTCCATAGGTTGTCTTCTAGTTCTGTTGGTTTCCTTCATTGTGCAGAAACTTATTTTGATGTACTACTGATAGTTTACTTTTGCTTTTGTTTTCCTTGCCTCAGGAGACATGCTAGAAAGAATTCACTATGAACAATATCAGAGAAATTACTGACTACGTTCTCTTCTAGGATTGTTATGGTTTCACATCTTACATTTAAGTCCTTAATCCATTAGGAGTTTATTTTTGTGTATGGTGGAAGAAAACGGTCCTGTTTCATTCTTTTGCATGTGGCTGTCCAGTTTTCCAGCACCATTTATTGAGATTTTTTTCTCATTGTATAAATTGTAGATTTGTTTCTGGGTTCTCCATTCTGTTCTGTTGATTTAAGCATCTATTTTTGTGCCAGCACCATACTGTTTTGATTACTATAGTTTTAGGACACCTTGAAATCTGGAATTGATACTTCCAGTTTCTTCTTTTTCAAGATTGCTTTGGTAATTTGAGGTCCTTTCTGGTTCAAATAAAAATTTTAGGATTCTTCTAGTTCTCTAAAAAATGCTGTTGCTACTCTGATAGGGATTGCATTAAATTTGTAGATTGTTTTGGGTAGTATGGACATCTTAAAATTCCAGTCCATGAGCATAGAGGACCTTTCTATTTGTGTCATCTTCAATTTCTTTCATCAGTGTGCTATAGTTTTCAGAGTACAGGTTTTTGGCCTCCTTGGCTAAGTTTATCCGTAGGTATTTTATTCCGTTTTTGGAGGCAATTATAAGTGGGACAGTTTAATTTCTTTCTGCTACTTCACTATTAGTGTATAGAAACGCAATGAATTTCTGTACATTTCTGTTTCTGTGTGCTAGGAAAGTCAGCTACATGTTCTGCTCTTAAGAGTAGTAGCCTTATGAAGCTGAGGTCCTATAGTGCTCTACAGTGCACTGTCCCCTGTTCACCAGAACCTGGTGCTTCAGGAGGGTCTCCTAGGTGTGTTGTGTGTATCCTACTCTTTTGGCTGAGCTTTGGCTAAGCTGATTTTTCCTTGAGTCCAGTCATCTAATATGGCTCTCTTTGGTATAGGCAGGGTTTGGTCCCTATGTTGTTAAGGGGCCTATCTAGGGATGCAGTGGGCTTGAGCTGAGTCAGACCAGATGTTTGCCAGAGCTACATTCCCACTGAACTGCAGTGTGTTTTCCTTGTGTTGTCCCAAGAGGTTTTCATTGGTGGGTGCAGCCTGTCAGACCAGATGTCTGCCCCCAGCCCACTGCTAGAGTTGCAGTTGGACTGGTGTGTGTGGTTATCTTCCTCTCTGCTCAAGGCTTGAGTCAGTTCAGAGCGGTCCTGGCCCTTGTACATAGCCAGGCTTGTGGCACAGCTTTGGGTGGACTCCTGCCAAGGGCATGTTGGAGGAAGGGCAGGTCCACAGGATATTACGAAGGCAGGATGCATGGTATTAGCAAGATTTCTGCATGTCTGTTGTAGGAAGGGACTGGGAGCTGTTTAGGAGACTCCTTCTGCAGTGCTGGAGGGAGTGAGTCCATGGGAGAGTACCTGCAAGGTCCATGCAGCTGCTGGGGACTGAGGCAGTCTGCTTTGGAGGGAGTGGATCCACAGAAGAGCACAGGGGCTGGGTAGGCAGTGTTAGCAAGGTTTAGGAGGCTCTGCCATGAGAGGAGGGGTGTGCTGTTAGCAAGGTGGAGAGTACTCATACTGAGCTGGTTCATGCAGGTGTTGGTATATCTAGGCTGGAAGTGGGAAATGGTGCCAGCCAGCTCTTTTGTTCTTGGAGAAGTTGCCCAAAGATCCCTGTCGCTCCAGCATACACTCTGAGATTAGTAAATAAATCTCCCTCCTGTATTACCCCAGGTGGTTTTCAAACTGCTCTTTCTATGCTGTATCTTAGGGCTGTTTGTTATGCTGTATATTTAAGGACAAGGACTCAATGTCCTATCACTCTCTTGCTCTCCCAGAGCTGAACCTACTGATTTTTAAAATTCCAGGTGTTTAAAATTCCACAGATTGTAAGAACTCCTGAAGGTGAAGGCTCTCTGGTTTTCAAAGCCAAATGTGATGAGGATTCATCTTCCCAGTGCAGATTCCTCATGCCTGGGGTGTGTTCTCCTCCTCTCCCCTCCGCCTGCCTGCGAGTCCCTCCCACAGACCATCCCATGAGTCCATGTAGCTCCCTACTGTGTCTCTGCCCTTCCTATCCTCTTCCATGTGGCCTCTCTACATGTAGCTGTGGACGGTCTGTTCTGCCGGTCTTCAGGTGGTTTTCTGGGTTATTTACATTGAGTTGTTATTTAGGTGTATCCATAGGATGAGGTAAGCTTAGGGTCCTAATACTCTTTTCCCCAGAAGTCCAAAATATTTTTCAAAAATACCAAACATCTTGTTTCTTAGTAAATTCTCTCCTAGCTGCTCACTTGAGATTGAACACAATCCTATATAATCTCATTTGTATACTGGCACACTGTGGATCAGGACTGTATCAAAAGTCTCCACAAATACTTTCAGTGGAGAAAAGGCACATCCTTGATCCTGAGTTTCCATATTGTCCTACTGTATGACCCAGTCTGGGTTCACTCTCAGAGAAAGGATCCTGAAATGACCTGCAGTGTGGGAGCATGAATTACCTATGAAGAGCTTCTAGAAGGACTCTGACTGCAGGTGAGAACAGGAGATCTCTCCTGGTAGATTCACAAAAGCATAAATGGCTTTCCTTGAGTGAGACCATTTCTTTTGAGGCCATACCATCCTTCAGTGAATGCCCAGGGTGTATGAGATGTTATGTAAAAGGATTCATGTCGCACTAAGATGATTGTGACTGGAGCTTCAGCAAACCACCATCTTCACATCCTCCTGGGAGTGAAAACTGGATGGTACATGGGGGCAGGCCTGTTGGCCAAAAAAAAAAAAAAAGTCCTCTGTCCTGTGACTAGTCAAGAATGGCTCTGTAAAAACACT